TTAACATCTTAAACAATTTAGTTCCCATTTAAGTATAAAAACCAATTGAAGGGTGTGAAAATTAATTCAATTTGGAAAAGCACTGAAAGCCTTACACGTATGGACTTGGTCACATTCAAAAGTATCAAGCACACGTGTGCTTCCTCATAATTAATTACGCCCATATTATGACATGAATCAACTTCTTTGCTAATAATGTAAGGTAATGCGTCTTTATAATGATGAATATTGAATGATGAATATAACAAGGAACGCGAACGACTGCGTCAAGATTGATAGACAGCTGATGTAAGCAATAAACGAGGTTTGCGCGGTTACGCCGGCACATTTATAGTGGATTAGATTATAATTCAGGATAGTACTACGGTTAAATTGTATTAATTCGTTGTTACAATGTTCCTGTGAGGAACATTAATAGTACAAATTCTGAACGCTGGTAAATTACAAATCTAGATGAACCGGTGCTTGATCTAATCTTAAATTAGTGTGGTTGCATTTATGGTAAATGAGGAACAAAACTAAGGCGAAAAATAGATTAAAACAATCTTTGAAGCGGGTTCTATATCGTGTCAAAATTTGAGCTCCATCGCTGCAGAACTTTTGAAGTTTTTGTAGCGTACACAAACTAACTTAACATTTACATATATATATATATATTTAAAATATAATTATTTATTTACAATTAAAACTTATATATATATATATATATATATATATATATATATATATATATATATATATATATATATATATTAGCACAGGTATTCCTAGTATTAATATATAAGCGGAAGTGTATAATGTATTAATGTCTGGCGTTTTGATTACATTTTTGTAATCTTAGCAGTACGCAATGCCCAGTGTATTTGAATAGAATGAATTGATAAACGTATATTACAGTGGCTTGATACTACGTATACCTACTTACTTTCTGTGAAAAAATATGTATGAGTAGTGAATTTTTAATACGTAGGTAATAAAAAAAAGTAAATTTCTAAAAATTTACTAACAAACTCTATATATACACTGAATTCGTGTATATAAAACTTATTTTCGTAGTGTTCTGAGTATTATATAATTATCTATACAAATAAATAAAATTCGAGTGTCTGTTTGTAACATTAAAATAACAGCTTTTTACTAATATTTTTACACGGTACATATGCCAAAATAACATTTTTTACAATTTTTGTCTGTCTGTCTGTTTGTTCCGGGTAATCTCTGGAACGTCTGGACCGATTTCGACGGGACTTTCACTGACAGATAGCTGATGACCTAAGGAGTAACTTAGGCTACTTTTTTTAGACTAGCTTCGCCCCGCGGCGTTGCCCGCGGTTATAACAACAAACGCGGGTAACACCGCGGGTCTCAGCTAGTGGTTGTATATAAATGTAAGAATTAGAGCAATATGATAAAATTATGCACCTAATCAAGAATAACACAAATGATAAGAACACATCATCGGATCAGCAAGCTGAAGTGGCAGTGGGCTGGCCATATTAGCCGCAAAACCGACAACCGTTGGGGAAAACGAGTTCTTGAGTGGAGACAGCGTCTCGGCAAACATAGTGTTGGACGCCCACAGGCCAGGTGGAGTGAAGATTTGCGCAAGATGGCTGGCAGGAGCTGGATGCGAGAAGCCCAAAATCGATTCAAGTGGCGTGCAATGGGAGAGGCCTATGTCCAGCAGTGGACTGCGATAGGCTGATGATGAAGCACACATCGGGTAAACTTTTAACTTATAACACATAAACCTATCTTAGATATCTATATTTTGTCAGTAAATGATAAAATCGAAATCACAGACATAGATATTTTACAGATTCATCTATATTTGTAAAAAAAAATAAAGTCAAAACTAAAACAGTAGGTATTATAACACAATCTATATTTATCTACTTTTATTAAAACCCAGTACAATACAATAAACACTTTACTAGATACAAAATACAAACGCATGTCCGAATCTTAACCGAACTTTCAAGTCCAGTGTTAAGTACACTTTCCTCATTCAAATGATAAGTGTAAATAGACGTACAATATTCTGACAACAACACACTTGCATTGAACTTCTACAACAAACAATTCCATATTCAGAGGCGATGCAAATTAATTGTTTTTTCTGTTTTTTGTTTCTCACATCTATTTAATTGTTCCATGTGCATGAACTATAACACTTTACGATTATTTATTGCCTCCATTATTTATTGCCATATAACATGCGAATTTACAGCCAACTTGATAATTGAGACTGTATTAGTTTTATTAGTTTTTATTAATTTTAAAGTAATTAAAATGTAATCCACACGTTTAATAAGAGCTTCGCGTGTTTATGTTTGAACACTATTCGAACCTTATTGTTGTATGAATCTTGGTAAATGAGGTCATGCAGTAAAAAGCGTCAATCTGTTACCATATTATCCTAACAGGCTTATTTTTAAACTAATCAATGCGGCTTGGTACGGTGAGTTTTTTTAATGGTATAAGGGGGCAAACTAGCAGACGGTTCACCTGATGCAACTACCACCGCCCATGGACACCTGTAATTCAAAAGTCACAAGTGCGTTGCCGCCCTTGAAGTCCCTCCTGCTTGAGTCAACGGGAGGGGGGATTTGGGCTCCGGTAACCTCACTCAGTGAAAAGCAACGAAAGATTTGGTTAACAACGGTTTTCTGTAAGGCCGTGGTAACACTCCACTACACTCTGAGCTTGTATGTTTATAAATAATTAAATAATTAAATAATATATTATAAAGCTGAAGAGTTTGTTTGTTTGTTTATTTGTTTGTTTGAACGCGCTAATCTCAGGAACTACTGGTCCGATTTGAAAAATTCTTTCAGTGTTAGATAGCCCATTTATCGAGGAAGGCTATAGGTTATATATCATCACGCTAAGAGCAATAGGAGCGGAGCACGAATGAAGAATGTTTAAAAACGAAGAAAATTTATTACTATTGAGAGACGCAGACGAAGTTGCGCGGGTCAGCTAGTAAATAATATTGCCATTTTTTATTTATTGATCCTCAGCTAACATCTTGACATGAGGCATAATTATAACTTTTCCTAATCGGTATTCCATCTTGCCGTTAAAAGATAATAATCGACAACGTACTACAATGTTGTTTTGATCTCTACTGTGGGTTATTTGTGGTTAAACAATTATGAGCGCTAGAAGTGACATAAAACATATAAAATAAATTATTTTCGTCACTCCATTGGAAGGAATTCCGTCAAAGGAATGACAGTTTTTACATTTCCAATATTTGGAAGGGGTGTATCAAGACATACATCACTTCAATGTGAACAATTTTATTAACTGCTTGGATGGCGTAGTGGTTTAAGCGGTCGCCACGCCGCTCACTACTACGCTGAGTGTTGTGGGTCCGATCCCCACATGGGACGACACTTTGTGTGATCCACAAATGGTTGTTCTGAGTCTGCGTGTTCTTTGTGTGCGTTTCATGTATGTTTGTTAAGTCCCCCGCGACACATGATGTATTCCTAATGCGGGAGTTGTCTTTTTTCAAAAAAGGAAAGAAAGAAAATAATTAATGACTCTTTGATTTTTTTTTTAAGTTTTCCATGTATACTTCTGTATTGCTAAAACGTTACCTAAGATATTGGAAAGTGCGTTCACGCGACCAGCCTACAGATAAAAGGACTATCTGCTACAAATCTTTTAAGTACGAACACAATAGAAATCCAGTTAATGGCAGCAGCTACGGTACCATGAATACATAATACCTAGGTATCCATTTAAAACGTGACCGATTGCGTAAGGAGTGTTTTAAGAATTCGGAAGTGAATGCAGTTTGCTTAAATTCTGACAGTTCTTGTTTCACCAACCGTGAAGGTATTAAGTAACCGTTTACATGAAGTGCACTATAATAATGTATAATCGCAATCATAAGCATTTGAAGTATTCAACACTCATATTTGACACGTAATATCACTCTTTGCATTAATAAACTCTGTCATTTCCATATTCTAAGCTTCTCAGAGACCTAACCAAGCAATTACAAATATTACGCAAGGTAAAGGTTTAAACAAAACAATAATAGTAATTATAGGTCAGATCTACACTGTAAGTACAAAAACTATAACTGTACTTTCTTGTCTAAATTTAATATCTCTCGATTAAGATCCGGTCCAAACTATTAAAGCGAAATTCGAAGTTGCTCGGTCAGCTGATCGTCCGGCTAACTTTCATGTGTTTTATGTACGCTTATATATTTCCGAGCGGTTTTATATTACGGAAGTATAGAGCGACGACATTGTCGGTTGCATATGTGTATGTACTAGGGTTATTTCAATTTCCTATAGTACTTTCATTCGAGTGAAACTGGCGATGCGCGCCAAGTGCCGATTACCCAAGCGGTATCATGTTTACTGTGGAAGGTACGCTCTCTGCAATTCTTCATGATTTTTCCTTTCAATAATATCTCATTGAGATGTGGGAAAGTAAGAAAAGACCAACACATTTTGAATCGAGTTTTATTTTAACAACAACAATCTTAAACACTACATTTTTAAAATAATAAATAGATGAACTTAACTACTACTTTATAGCTGTAATATTTACATTAACAGAAATTCACGTCAGACTTGCATAATAACCTGTATATAATATTCTGGTCTTGGGATTATTGGCGAAATACGAATAATTGTTTTTTCTTCTCCCAGTAGTCGAAACAACTTTTTATCTAACCGAGTAGCCGTCTAATATAAGAACTACATAATCTATATAGTATAAAAACTACATATTATATTATGCAAAAGAAAGCACGCGCTGACGAAACACCGAGCACGTGCGCGCTGAGCCGACGACAGCGTGTGCAGGTATCAGCTTCTTAATTAACGGAAAGTTAGCAAAATAAATTATACTTTAGACGTTGCTTTCGCCCTGTCACACCATGCTATCAATCTTACTACGATGTCCATCCCTCACAGATCACTCTAAATTTTTCTTATATTTACAATACATTGACGAGATACATGTCAGATTTAGTTAACTATCGGCTTCAATTGTTCACTGTATTTAATGGTATTATATGAAGTCTCGCTTGCCGACCCGTGAGCGTCAGTTGGTTCATACTGAGAGCTGGAACCTCCGTAACTATATTTTGGTCCTGATGAAAAGGAGCTTATAGAACTGTGTGACGAAAGGGGAGATCTGTGTGCTGAACTGCCATGGCCAAAGCTGCTGGGTCCACCACGATAATGTTTTGTGCTTACGTAATAAGGTTTGTTAGAAGATGCAGAGTGAAGGTTGTTTGAAAATGACGATGAGGGTATCCCGTAAGTTGTTCCAGGAGGAGAAGAGAAGTGGCCTGATGATAAAGCATTGGCACCTTCTAATCCCTCACTTTTATATGATTGGTATGAAGGCGCAATGAACTTAGAGGAACCACTGCCAAAACCTTGCGAACCTCCGAAACTAGCACCGTGACCGGCAGAGCTAAGTGTTAATCCACCGTGATTACCTCCACGAAAACTACCAAAAGATGGTGCACCGTAAGATCCGGATAAACTAGAAATACCATGACCAGAGCCAGATTCACTTTGAACGGACGAACCGAGGAAAGTTGATGGTTTGAAAGATGTTTTGCTAGGTGCAGTGTAACCGCCACTTAATTGCTTATAAGAACCAGCATAAGATGGTCCGACCCCTCCAAGGTTAAGGCCAGCCAAAGAATTGCCGAAAGAATGTCCAGAACCGCCCAAAGAATAACCAGAACCACCCAAAGCATGTCCAGAACCACCCAAAGAAAGACCAGACCCTCCCAAAGAGTGAGAAGATCCACCAAAAGACTGACCAGAACCACCTAAGGACAAAGACCCTGCGTCACCCAATGAGTGGCCAGAAGCAGCAGCGCCATAAGTCAAAGAAGGTGCAGCGGAGGTGCCTGATTGTAAATCGGAAGGATTAAAAAGAACGGGTCCAGTTGAAGTGAACGGATTTAAACTTTTTGCACCACTAGAATAAGAAGGAGCACTAGAAAATTGTTGAGATATTTCATATTTAGGAGCTCCGTAACTAAATTGCGGTAGCGATAACTGTTGTCCTTGAGCAAGACCTTGCACACCCTCGGAACCTTGGTGGAACTCTGCTACCGTGTTGGACGGTTGAAATGAAATTGCTCCAGTATTGAGACTGTGAGTAAGCTGATTCATGAGTTGAGAAAGATCACCGCTTGCGAAACCACCGTGACCTGGTTGTAAAGTAATGGGCGCTAGTTGTATGGTAGCATGACCATTAGGAGATAAGCCCTCAGAAGGAATTTGTAGATTAGCACTTGATCCTTGACCAGCAAAACTGTAGGTAGGCTTTCCTCCACCGATGCTGTAGCCGGCACCAACGCTGATCGCACTGGCGTCTTCTTGAGAGTATGCTGCTGGTGCCTGAAAACTTTGGGACGAGTATGCTGGCGACCCGTAGCTCGCTGATGCTTCTCGTTTATCTTTAGGATCTTCAACTGTCTTCGCTAGTACACCATATGATGTTGATACACACAAGAGTGTGGTAAAAACGATCTGCAAAAGATAAAAAATAATTACGCACTTTCATTCTGACTGTAATTGGTGTAGTGAATGAACTCAAATTATGACTATAAACATTATATTTTAAGCAAAAGTAATTCAGAAACGGGTTTCCAAATACTGTGGCCGTGTAAGTGCCAAGTTTATGGCCGACCCGCATGGCAATGTTAAGATTAACGCCCACATTATATAAATTTCACTTTTTCCACTTTTACTTTATACGAAATTAAAAGTATGTTTTCTTATAAAAAAAATAAACCGGCGAAATATCATTAATTTAATTAGCCAAACGTTTGAATGGGTAGCCAAAGTTTGAATGACATTAGTTGCCAAGATCACAATTTTTACGTATAATAATTTATCTGTCACTTGTCTGAATTATTTAAAATTGTAAGTTAATTTCTTTCTTGAATAAGGGTCACAATGCAATAATAAAGTACAAGCAATCCATATCTAAACCAGGTATAGTCTATTTTTACACCACTATCACTTAATGCTAACGTTCACTAGTTTTCTTGATCACAAACGCGAACTCACCGTGAATTTCATTTTAGACGCTTATTGGTTATTCTCCTCGTGTTGATGAAACTAAATCACTTCACAATGTTAGGTGCACAACACAAACAAAATAATATGTTGAATTCTATCGGTCGGCTTGCTCGTACCGCCGCCGAATTCGTAATGTGATGTCGCTTGTGTTTTCACCGAATTTATAAGAGAGAGACGGTGGCGCGCACCCGCCGGTTCGCGGGCGCTGTCGGAAGGGTAAAAGTGTATCGAAGGACCCTTTCACTGACTGAAAGAATGGGAGCGAGCCACTGAGCTTCCGAACCCAACAATGAGGTAATAGAAACCGGAAGTATTGCGTCATAACCCGATCACGGTTTGATGCACTTATCGATACTGATGTCATACGAAAACGTAAAGCGAACATTAACACACATTTTTCTGTTTAAAAGCACTTTATTATATTTGCAAACATTTATAACTGTTAGAACATTATGACTTAATTGTTCCTGCATACTTACATAGGGATAAATATTTTTTTAAATGACCACGAGCAAATTCGTTCATGAACAATCCTAAAAAGATACAAACTGCAACACGTCGAATGCTGTAATAAACTCTTTTTGATAATTCGTTTAAGTAATATCATACTTAATTGTTTTAAATTTCCTTAATTAGAATTTTGATGGTCTTGGTCAATGACTTTCAATTTAGATTAAAATTGAAATTAGAAAGATGACTCAAATACGCGTAATTAAACTGTTTTAATCTTATTTTCGACCATGGTGACACAACTCAATTTATCTCAATTAATTTAATATTAGTCTCTAATAAACATAGCTCCGTTTTCCTAACATGCAAGTTTAATTATCTTTCAATTAATATATACTACAGTGATTACAGTTCATTTTTTAAGAAAAAATACTCTAATTAGAAAGTGTTAGGTACTTATAAAGGTAAAGCCTACATTTACAAATTTAAAGTTTATTTAAAATAAATTTTGTGTACACACCACAAAATACTAATTATAAGATCACACTTCTCGCAACAAAATTAATTCATCAAACTAATAAAAAGATGAATCGAAAAGCTAAGAGAGTTCTAGTAGGATATTTAGTTCATCATTTGAAGTTATCTTATCTATCTATCTATACTTGAAAAAAAAAACAACATAAAATCATAGTACCGGAATCAAAACTAATCAAGACTAAGAGTTTAAGATAAATTACAGCATAGGTTTCGACACACATTCGACAAATTGTTCTTGTGTTAAAAAAGAACAAATAAATATGACTAATAATTTGTCCACACACAAACCTTTTACTTGTCATTCCCAGTTAATACGTTACGTAACGGCAACTTTATTCAATATTTCTAATGATGCCATTCAAGAAATAAAGCAAATCAAGATTACATTCTTCCTTTCTATCATGTACGATACAAATGTCTGAAGCACAGTTTGGTTATTTTTTAACTCTACAGTCGTTGCGTTTCCAACGCGGAACATTTAGGTGGTATAGAACATCCACAATTAAGTTCTACTATTCCTTTTCCTTTCTTCTTCGTTTTTCACCTAACTCGTGTCATGGATAGTGCGCTGGCTTTCAACCTTAAAAAAAGAAGGAAGACTTCAAGAAAATACATTAAAATTACAGATTCCACTATTAGTCTCAGTTAATGTAGAGGTGTTATCATACATATATCTTCGTTAAAACGAAGTTTTTCGAAGTAATTTCGTTTGTGCTCAGCATATTTATTCTATTTTTTATATTATATTAATTGACAAGCACAAAATTTAATAAGATCTCAAAAAAACTCACAGCTTTATGTTTTTCTAAATTTCAGTACATTATATTGGACAAACAACTGCTTGTAAACATGCTGCTTTAGCATGAAATGGTTTAAGGAAAAACACTGGATTACGTAACTACGTACAATATGTACATCTGCGTATCTAAGTATCTTAGTAAAATTTATAACATAGTCGGATAATGCACTTTCGTTCATTGATGTAATTTGTACGCTCGGGCCATCCAAAGCCGTGACTGACAGATACATAGTTAGTATTCCCTTGCGATAGTATGTTTTCATGCTGTTGAGTCTAAATTAACTACAATCTGCTTTGTAGCGATCCGAAAGGCAGATTCAGACGATTCACTTTTAATGCTAAACTGTTTTCTACAGAGATGTAGCCGATTCCGGCTTGCAAATGATATTTTTCTCGGATTTAAACACAGTTCGTAGTTAGGATTAATTATCTCGCTAATTTGAAGATAATTAGCAAAATAATTAATATAGTCTTCTGGGCACGTGATGCGGAGAAATTGTTTTGCGCTTGGAACGCAAAGTTTAATATTAAAAATGACCTACTAACTATGTTTTGTGTAATTTGTTATGTTAGGACTAGGTTATTTTAATTTTTGGAATATAAATTAATGGTTTTCAATAAAATCATATTAAAAGTATATATTTTTACAAACCAGAGAAAAGATGAGCACAAAAGATACAGAAATTCAGGTTATGAGGATTGTTGTGATACAAACATAGCACATACTTAATGTTTATTAAAAATATGCCCGTTCGTAAGACACTTCTGTTAAGGTGAAATACTTTATCATAAAAAATTCTTTATGACAATTGATAAAACAAACAAACAAACACAATACCTAAATGTAATCTTTCGTAAAGCACTAAACTGAGAAGCATACGGCCCATTTAAAGTCACTCTTGCACCTTTGCAACCACTTTCCACTGCATGTGTGGGCCTCGCTTTCTTCTAAATATCGCACCCCTTTTTTTCTGTGCGGAAATCCCCTCGGATACCACCGGTGGTTATGTCTATATATCGCACCCTCAGTAATATAAAGGCATAATACAATAAAGTAGTTTTTTGGGAAATCGCGTTTAAAGATTATTGACTCTTACGTTCCAGCCTTTTTTTTGAAATTGCATATTATTTAAGTTATAAATGTGATTTTTTGCAGATTTATTCTTTGATAACAATACTATAAATAGCCATAATAAAATGATAATATGAATAAATTCAAAAACACTTTCAAGTTAAGCCCAAATAGTACAAAAAAACATCTTCACTTTTTGGCAATATAACGATCTATTATGAATCAGACCCAAAAATTAAATAAATTTTGTCAAATATAAAGGCGCAACTACAAATAGTTCTATATAATATAAAAAGTTTAGAACAAAATCACCTGTTTTTTGCACAAACACGGATTTTTGACGGTTCGCTTTCGGCAAATTTGGACACTGCTTATGACCTTGTAGCACTAAAAACGGAAGACGAGCAGGAAAAAGCACAAATGTATTTATCGATTCATTATTATCCTTTTTCTTTCCCTGTTAGCGTTAACCGGTTGAGAATTTCATTTTGTGACCTTAGCATTTAAAATCACACTTCACAAAAAAATTTACTTGACCCCAAAGCTCTAATTGAAAATAGTCCTTACAAAACTAGAATGATAAATATCGAAACTGTCACTGGTGCCTGACTATTGACACTCGCACCTACGTTAATGGTTAACATGTAGCCAACCATCTCATCAAGTACCAACAGATAGCAGCCAGCCAGTGCCCATTCGAGGATTGAACCAATATTTTAAATAGTATAAAATATCAAAATTCTTTGTATACCTTATCTAATAAAGACAGCTGTACTTTTTCTATTTTAAATTGTCTTCCCTGATGAATCGTGTCTGAGGCCGTGAAACCTTCAGCGTTAATATCTCTGAGAGGTACTTAATAACGTGTGTAATTATTATGGTAGCTTAAATATTTCATAACAGTGTTTAATAATAAACGAGGACATGCCGACGGAACCTGCGAAACTAAATCTCAAGAAGTTACATTACCAATCGCAATGTGTGAAGAGCACAACGAGCGACTCACATCTCTCGCCGCGTCCTGAGATGACTGCGTGTGTGTTTTGGTATTAACATTAGACTGTTATTGAGCGCATTAGCTAAAGTACTATGGTCTTAGTACCTTTTAACATAAATTGATTTAACGGCTTATGGTTTTCAATTTCAACAAAGTTCCGTTTAATAGACAATTTTCCTATATACATTTATAAATATGTGTAATTTGGTGTCCCTCGAAAAGGACTCCTACGTGCTAAGATTAGGTTTTGATTTGATAGTTCTGCATCTTTATCTACATATATGATGCCTTAAAAAAACTATTTGGTTCTGACTATACTTAATGAATGAAAATATACTTTGATGCTAAGTAAGATTTTTTAATTAAAAAATAAAAGTTCCACTAAAGCACCCTGCATATCAGGTCAGAAAACGTTGATCGCGGTAAGTCACGCCTGTCACAGTACCGAGCGAGGTTCACTGTAGCATGGATTTAATATTTTTTTTTTTATTAAATTGCATTATGAATAAGCGCTACATAGCATTGATTACAGAAAATAAAAGGCTTAAAATTCACCGTGAATCAGATAGATACCAAGCATCGCTCCATGCCCATGCAAGATCTTAGACAACCGATAGCTAAGGAATTTTCTTTTATACAACGTTAGGAATTTCATTACAATATACTTGCAGGACACAAGATTCCAGACCTTGATTAACCCATAAGTTAACTCAAAAACAATAGCTCCTAGGACACGCATGTACCTCCTCTTGTATTAATTATCTAGTAGATCTGCATCTATTGGCCAAAGTTACATTGTATATTTACTCATAATTTTCACACGATAGGTTACACGTGTAGATAACTGTAAAGGTTAACCTTGTTCGATGCAATCTCTTCCTGGCAACCTCTAAAATGAGTTAAACTGATTAGACGATGCGGGTGGCAACTGTATATGATTTAAGAAAACTGCAGATCGCCTAGTGGTTGACTCTGGAACATAATTGGTAGCCAATATAACTTGAACCGTCATTGTATAGTGACTGGAGACGTGTAGCAATATAGCCGGTTTCAGGTTATTTTTAGGATTCCGTACCTCAAAAGGTATAAAAGGAACCCTTATAAGATCACTTTCTTGTCCGTCTGTCCGTCTGTCCGTGTGTCAC